TAACATTCTGTGTGATTCTGTGTGTGAAAATTTCATTCAGTTTTAAAGCAAATAAAAATTTTTAAATTTTGATTTTTAATCAAAATATTTTTAAAATAAATAGTGCCTCCACTAATTTTTCTGTATTTCAAGTATGCAAAATTAAGGAGTTAATTGATATTTTTACCTCGTGGTTGAAATTTGAGAAGCTAGCATTCATTGTTTGGCATTTTAGTCAATATTGCTACAAAGGATGTTTCAAATTCGGCTAGCTTTTTGATTCTGCACTTGGATGATCTGCTGTCTCTCTATATCTTTCTTTTGAATTGAAAATACTTACATGAAGCTGATAAACAATACACAGAGTGAGAGGTATGTGTTTATAAAATGGAACTCAAGTAATATATATATTTTTTCCCACTCTTTTTGTGCCTTTGACATTGTCTCTACTGTGGAAGCTAGTTAGTGTACAACTTTTTTTTTTTTTTTTTTTTTTTTTAGCTTATCAGAACCAAAGTTTGTGTGGCACAACACAATTATCATGAGCCCTAATACACATACGCAAGCCACATGACATCCAGTGATAGGACAAGGGGCAATGGGTTCAGGCTGGAACATAGGAGGTTCCGCTTGAGTATGAGGAAAAACTTCTTTACAGTGAGGGTGACAGAGCACTGGAACAGGCTGCCCAGAGAGGTTGTGGAGTCTCCTTCTCTGGAGACATTCAAAGCCCGCCTGGATGCGTTCTTGTGTGATCTGATCTAGGTGTCCTGCTCCGGCAGGGGGATTGGACTAGATGATCTTTCGAGGTCCCTTCCAATCTCTAACATTCTGTGATTCTGTGATTCTGTGGTTGTAGCCAGTATCTGTGTGCTAATGGCAGATTGTATATGTATATGGGTATGTGTTACCCATCTGAAGAAACAGATTTAAACAAGGGGATGGTACATTAAATGCAATGTAATTGTTGCAGTGTGCAACAAAACTCCATTGCCTTCTGGTATTTCCTTATTCTTTCTTTCCATCTGACAACTGCTGTGTAGGGGCTCCTGAAAGGCAATTGTCTGCTAGTGCATAAAAGGTATTGTCTCTGTTTAACTCAGAAGGGTCTCAGAGGAGATTAAATGATGCCATTTGAGGATAAAGTTGTGCCAAAGATCAGCAATATTTTGCTAACTTAGAGTAAGTGTCTCCTCAAAGGAAGAGACTGTGGAAGCTGTAGGTTAGAAAAAGAGCACTTTCCCCCTCCACCAGAACTACTGCCCTCACTGTGGCTAAGTATGGGCTTAGGCTGGGGCTTTTCCTCATGGGTGTAATGTGGTTTGAGCACAGGGGAAGTGCTCAGGTGTCTTCAAGTCTTAAGTTCGGTTTTTTTTTACTTTGTAAAATAACTGTTTTTCTTAAAGGAAGCACTTGGAAAATATGTTCCAGAAAACTGGTCCCCGAGTCAAACCATACATTTGCTCAGTTCAGGTTCACTTGCAGCTGAAATTGTTCTGCTTCCAGACAGAAATGGTTCAGTAATGGTTTTATTAACTCTGAAGTACTGATCCTGAAGAACACCATCTTCAAAAGTAGATTTTTGCATGGTCAGGCAGGCAGCTAGCAGAGAGGGTTCATCTAGAAAGTGTTAGCCTGCCTCACTCCCCTGCTGCATCATGGCCTTCATTCTTTGGACCAGTAAAGATCAGGGATTTGGGGTTTTTAATTTTGTTGGGTTTTGCCCATATAATAATAGGGTTGTCTGGGCAAAATTCAGGGTGCTGGAGCTTGGCAGATATTTGTCTGAAGGTGCTAGGGCTGTGATTGAGCCTGTTCCCCACTCTAGGACTCAGAGGCATGTCCACTTCCTTCCTGCTCACTGTGGTTTTGGTAGAGCTCATCTCAGGTGGCAATTGCTTATGCTAATCCTGCACCTCAAGAGTTTGCAGGGTAGAAGAGCACAGTGTTACAGCGTGGAAATAAAGGTTTGTGGATGTGTGTTGGGTATTGCGTAGCAGGAGAGACTGCAACATGACGTAATTCTTCTGTAGGCTCTGCTGCACAGATTTCTGCTGGGGATGTCAGAGTTCAGCCAAACACTTCTTCTGAACCAGGAAACAGGAATCTTTTTAGTTGAATTCTCACAGGCTTGTGTGGGAATTGGTTTGGAACCAGTTTTCAGTCCGATTTCAGTTTCATTGCCAGCATTCAGTGTGAGTGTTTAATGCAAATGAGAGAAAAAGAAAATATGAATTTTCATGAGGATGGAAAATGTGCCAGGGAACCGAGGGCCAAACCCCATGAAGCTCATAGTAAGCTGTATTGTCTGGCTTATAACTGCTTTATAAAATCAAAATTCATATATACGTAGAAAAAAGGACATTTTGGGGAATGTTGTACTTTGAAGAATTAGTTAAATGTATTATATAAAATGGTTATCTAAATGAAGATGTCTTGGAGACTTCTAGGAAGTGTGTTCATTAATTTTTCCTTATTGTAAAACTTAAGTGCAAAGATAAGGAAGTCAAGATATGCTGAACCACCTAGTATAAGTGAGTGCTGTGTTTAATGTTATTTCAAGTATGTGTACAGAAATAGATGCCATTTCCAGAAGTGAGTACATTTTTTGTGTCTGTCACTTTTATTATATTCACAACAATGGACTAGTTCAAGCAAAGATAACAATGAAGTCGAAATTTTAAAAAGCCAGTCCTCTGTTTCTTAGAAATGTCTCGCGAGAGGATAAACGCAAATACTAGTATAGCCCTGAGCCATTAATTCTTTGTAAAGTTTCAAAGCATTTCTGTCTGTAAGGTCAAGAGGGTTAAGATAATTAGATTGTAGAATAGGCAGGCGCCTTGCACCATCCTATAATTTTTTGTGCACTGTTTGCATATTGTTACCACTAATATATAGGGGTATTTTTGCTCCAGCTTCTGTGTTGAAGATGATTTTGTCAGTGTCCAGATTTTGCATTTAAAATGGCAGGTTCTCACTAAACATGTTTTGGTTTTGGGGTTTGTTTTGGTTTGGTTTGTTTTTTTCTGAAGACCTAGATGGAGGAAAAGATAAATTAGTTGGTTTTTTTTAAAGAACTCCGTATTCACTGATACAGTGTTGCACATAAGAACGTTTTTGAGAAAAATGTTAGAGTTGTAATTGATCTATGATTTATATCCAGTTAGAAATTTACAGCATACATTGTATTAGAGGTAACTTTTAACTGCTAAATATCAGAAAAGTGTCATTGCTTTATTTTTTAGATACTGTTTTTGTTATAAAAGTGCAAGCATTGTACTGAAAAAGAGCCCTGTAGGGCACAGTATTTGTTCTAATCTGGAATTGTAAATATTGTCTATCTCTGTCTTCTCTGTAGTATTTATATGGAAGTAATCGAAAAGACAACATATTTATTGATCCAATCTACCAGACATTTGAACAGGAATTAAATAAAATCCTTAGAAGCTGGCAACCAAGCATACTTCCAGATGGTAATTTTCTTTTTGGTCATGTGTGTTTTTCACCTCTTAATAGTTCTGTATTCTTAAGCATGTATATCTATACAAACATTTTATGCATTGAGATAGTAATTGATTAAAAAGCACAAAGATCTCATCTAAGAGTTCAGTTAAGAATGTACCTGTTCTTATTTTCTTGTTTCTTGCTGTTCCATGCTGCAGGAGCTGATTTTGCCACTGCCTGTTAGTCTTAAATTGGATAACCATTTTCAGGAGAGAAAGTTAGAATAAGCAGCTGCTCTTCGACATGTTCTTTCTACCTGAGCTAAATGTATTTTTTGACCATTTTTTTTCCATCTGGGAAGCAGGCAGGCACTGGGCTATGTGTGGGTGGGGTTAACAAGCTGTGTATTTTAGTCTTTCTTGGCTGGATTGGGAGGACTCTCTGCTATGAGCCTTCTACTCAGGGGGATTGTCAGTTCATGGAGAAAACAGGAATTTTCCTAGCGAGTTGATGTTGATGCTGAACTGCAGAATCCACTGTTCTTCCATCTCTCTCACAGTCTTCCCTTGAGTGAGGGCTTGTCCATACCAGCCCCTTTCCTCTCTCTTCTTGATACTGTTTTTTCTCCCTATAGCTTTGGAAGGCTTCTATATGTGGCCCTCCCTATGCCCTGCTATGGCCTAGGAGGAGCACTTTCCAAGTGAGGTGTGCTTTAGCAATGAGAAAGATTATAACTATTTGGAGGCTTTGTCTGACCAGAATAAAATGAACTCAGAAATATTGGCCCATTGAACGTTTGTTTTTATGTAATAACATGAGGGAGCCACAGGTAAGCAATGCTGTTGAAGTAATTAAACAGAAATGCATTCTCTGTGAAATTGCTTATACTGGTGTTTCCTATTGACTGTCTCTTCCTGAAACAGTGAGTGTCCATGTCTTTAAGATACGGTTCGGGGAGTGTGGACATATGATTACATATGCTTATTGGAGGCTTCTGTCATGAGCATTTTGTTAAATATTATAGCAAACAGAAACTTGATTCTTTTAAACCTGGACAGTTTATTGGCTAATCCATTGTATTTTCTCTAATATTCTTGTTTTTGAAGGATCAATATTCTCTCGAGTTGAAGAAGATTACCTTTGGAGGATTAAACAGCTAGGATCACATTCACCAGTTGCTCTTCTGAATACTCTGTTCTACTTTAACACTAAGTATTTTGGCCTGAAAACAGTGGAGCAGCACTTAAGACTTTCTTTTGGCACTGTTTTTAGACAGTGGAAAAAAAATCCTCTAACAATGGAAAGCAAAGCTTGTCTTCGGTATCAAGTGTCTTCCCTTTGCAGAGATGATAGTGAAGGTACTATGGCAGTTCCAAAATAAGTATTGAAATAAGTATTGCAGGAGCATCCACATTGCACTCCTCTGAGGGACATCTGGGCACCTTGCCAGGAGCTAGAGGTCTGCCTTTGCATAAAATTTAGCAGCTCTCAGCTCACAGATCTTTAATCGGAGTGTGTGGTCCATGGAGGCTACAGGGTCTCTGCGTTAAACGATCCCTTTAAGCCCACTGGTCTGCATGCTAAATGCTGTGACTTTGTTGTGGCTGTGGGTTGTGTTTCCAGTTTGCAGATATTCATAGTTGTGGTGACTGCATTGCAGTACTTGGTGGGCTGCCTGCTCTGGGAAGTGTACTGAAAAATCCAAGATAAATTCAAGTTATAGCTTAGATGTTGTTGATTTCCTTCTTAAAGATAAAATTACTACTGGAAAAAGGAAACACGAAGATGATGAACCAGTATTTGAACAAATTGAAAACACATCTGATCCAGCTAGATGCCCTGTGAAAATGTTTGAGTGCTATCTGTCTAAAAGGTAAGTATGATATGGGATAATACAGAAGCCCTCTAGAGTAGGCCACGTACAAAAGGGAAATGTTTTGATGCAGCATAAAATACAGTCAAGCAGAGGGAATCAATTGAGATCTTCTGAAAAATATCTAAATGAAAGCATCAAAATCTCCACTTCTGTATCTGGACAAGATGTGCAGAAAGTATGGGAGCAGCAAAGTACTTGAGTGGTAATGTCAAGGACTCCATCTGGGACTGACAATATGATTCAGTTTTCTTACCTGGAATCACTAAATATCTCTGCAGAGAATTACCAGCAAGGGATCTGGTAGGTTTTGCTCTTGAGGGTTTTGTTTGTGAGGGCCTTACCTTTTCAGTAAGAATTGGATTGAGACAATGGATTTGCTTCATGTTAAGTCATCAGGAATCTGAAATGTAGGTGCTTTTTGAGATACCTAGTTTAAAAGCATGCTTAAAACATTTTGTAGTAGAAGAAATACTACTGACAGTAACCCAGCATTTAGAAATAGCTTGTTTCATTCTAATCTGCACGGAAATTAATACAATTAAAAAAAAAAAAAAAGCTTAGCCAACTCTTACAAAAAATTAATGTAGTAGCTAAGTGTATTGGAAGTGTTGAAAATAGGATTTAGTGGGAAATTCTTATAACTGGAACAGCCATTCAAGCGACTGATTTCAATGTAGATTTGTGTAACTCTTAAATATAGGCAAGTGATACCAAAGAAGTAAAATCACATTGTATACAACACAATAAATCAAATGAAATATGAGACCCAACATGTGTTAGGAGACAGCATCTTACTCTTAAAGGTGGAGAAAGAGTTTACACACAATGCAGGCAGAAGTGCAAGTATGTGATGTTACAGAGAGAAACAAATAAAGAGTAACTTGTGGTCTGTTAATGCAAGCACCTGATTTTCATAAACGGAGTTAATTCTGTTTGTTGCAGGGTGCGTTTTTTTACTGTCACACTATCCACTGTCATGGTTTGGAGAGCATTAAAAAGTTGAAGCTGGATTTTTGAACTGAGTTACTCAGCCAGTAGGCAGGAGAGAACAAATAATTTACTTTTCTTTAGAAACATCTCAACTTAAGAGTGCACTTAAACCCATTTGGAGCATGGTTCATGGTGTGGTTTTCAAGTCCTGCAGTCTTACAGATATTGGTCACCATTGCTAAGTAGAGCAGTGGACTGCTGCTGCTGGTTCCACTTCTAATAGCATACACTTTACGTCTTTAATGAAATAATTTTAATGAAATATTTAACACTGGAAAAGCTATTGTAAAAGTTAAGGTAATGTATTTTAAGGTAATATTGTAAAACTATTATAAAATGTAAGGCCATGCCAGCTGTTTGAAATATCCCTGGCAATCAGCGACAGTTGCAGCTGAAATTTCAGAATGCTGTCATTCACACCTGTGAGCACTATATTATTTCTTGGTTCCTATAAAAATACTGTCTTGTCAAAAAAAGTAGGAGGGGAGTTAAAATACTTAAATTACTAGAATATTTTAAACTATCATATTTTTGTTTCTTATCTGACTCTTAATCTGAATTGTGTGAGAGCAGAACAAGCCAACAGTCACCCCAGCAGGTGAAGATCAACACCTGAAACTTTATCAGCTAGTCTGAGAAGACAAGCTGGTAAAAATTCTTATTTTTGCCAGACAAACGTGAAATACAGTTCATCTCTGAAGTCTGCAGTATTTATGAAGGAAGGAGCATGAGTGAGCACTTGTACATGCAGAATGGAAAATTATTTTCCAAGACTTGCCTAAATAGACAAAATATTAGCATTTCCTTGAGGGGTCTGCTCTAGTGGCCTAGAGGATATGTCTGAGATGGGTCAAGCATGTATACGAACTCCGAAATATAGCAGGTCAGGAATTAAAGGATTTTAAGATTTACGGGTGACCAACCTTTAGGTAAAATAGGAGGAGAAGGAATTTTATCTTTTGTTTCCACACCTCTCTCAGAACTACCATCCTTGACTTTCAAGGGAACCCCAGGGTCTGTGTTCAGTGATGGCTGCAAGTGGTGCAAGCAACTACTGATGTCAGTGTTGGGCCTCTTTGCACATCTGTCAATCAGGGGTTTCTAAATAGGTAGGAAGTACTTTCTGGTTTAGGAAGTCCTGGATCTGCAAATTTTTGAAAGCTGGAAGAGTCTGTGGTCTCTTGTATGCACGCTAAGTCCCTGTATGCTTGCCAAGTCCCAGGCGTCTGCCTTTGGCTTGCCTGAGGACACGGGGCTGGCTGGGCTTGGGCCAGACACAGCACAGCTCCTTCTGTGAACAAGACCACATTTCTCCACATCAGTCTTTTTTGGTAACTTTCATAGGTACATTGCAGTTTCATTTGTGAAGGATGTTGGAACTGCTAACGTACTGTTTTGTCCTGTGAGGCTATTTTTCTAACCCCCCTGTTTTCCCCCTTGTAGCCCACAGAATCTGAATCAGAGGATGGATATCTTCTATCTGCAGCCAGAGTGCTCTGTCTCTGCGGAGAGTCCCATCTGGTACACTGCCACTTCACTGGACCGCAACACTTTGGAAAATATGCTCGTACGGGTTCTTTTAGTAAAAGATATTTATGATAAAGACAATTATGAACTGGATGAAGACATAGATTAAAACAAACTTCCAAAAACAGTCAAGAAGACAAACAGCATTAGATATAGTCATGCTGCTAGACCTTTAACTATGGAAAACATTTCAAGTTTACCCTTTGTTTTATGAGTTTTGTAGCAGTGTGTACCCCCACCTGGGTATTACCATGTAAATAGTCTGTGAGTGAAAGTTTCCATTATTCTGCGTAGTGGTTTAGGATACATAACAAACACATTTCAGATTCTTTTTTTTATTATTTATTTGATTAGGTATGTTTGTAACTTTTTACATTGCAAAATATGAATGAGAATGTGCCATGTGTAATTTTTTTTTCCCTTGTAGTAAGATACATCCATATTGCACAACTCTGCTGTTGGAAGCTCCCTTGAAAGGAGGCTGTTTTAATGGGGTCTTAAACCGGATGGTTGTGTATGGGTAGCATTACTAAAGTTTAGAACTTGCTGTGTCTTTCAGGATTTTTAAATAAATTGTAAACTAATAGGTTTTTTACTTTTTAGTTACTGAAACCTTATAAGGTTATGTAGAGAGATTCCATCTTATGTACCAAAAATAGACAAAAGAGAATGCTGTCAATATTGGTGTACTGTAATGTGAAATTATTCTGGTGAAAACATTTTTTTTGTTGCCCTTATTAAAACCTTAGTGTCCTTTCCTTATTTGTGACTCTCTCTCAATTGCCCCTACAAATAATATATATATGTAAAAATAAATGAATATAAGCTTAAAGCATGTGGTCATCAAGACATGTATTTTGTAAAAAACAAAACCAAAACAAAAAACCCCTTAAAAAAACCAAAAGGAAAAAAGAAAGAGAAAAAAAAATGTCTGATGACAATGCTGTATAATTCTTTTCCATCTTTACTTTTCTGACCATAAATGCTGGTACCTCGTTTTACTGTAAATCTGTCCTTTGTAGCCTTAGCAAAAGGGATTTTAATGCTGTATTACATAAAGTAATATGGTATGCTGAATTTTTAACTTTTGTTTATCCTTGCATTGCAATATTTAAATACAGTCAATACTTGACTATGGGTGGGGAAAGTCTTTTAACTAATGCCTCCATTCAGAAGCCATATGAGACGTGAAGTTGCAGGAAGTTGAAAGATATTTTTTTTTTAAGAAAAGTCTTTTTGTTTGTTCTGTATCCTTTCTTGTGCTTACTTTGCATAAGGAGTCTTATTTCCAGATATTTAGCTGCTTAAGTTTTGTTACTTGCTCTTGTTTAACTGATGCAAGCAATATGCTGCTTTGTGCAATGGTTTTGCTATTGTACTGAAAAAAATGTAGTAGAATATTCTACTATAAAGTAGTCATAAGTTTGGCTCTCCTAAATGACATTAAACATCTGTTGAGAGGAACCATCTACTAAAGGGGAAACTTTCTATGTATATATATTACCTATATTACCACTTCAGGATTTATTTCTTCCAAGGGCATACATTTTCCTTAGCTTAAAAGGATGCACACAGGGACACTTCTTTCTATATAGAGAAATAAAGCTTCGGTTGCTTTTTTTTTGTTAAGCAAGTTTATTTAAAATTTCTGCTATTCTTGTGTGGCCATATGTATTTACTTCAGATATACCACTACTTCAAAAGTAGATGGAGGTGTACATATTTAATTTTTCATTTTTTTCTACTGGCTCTACCCTTCCTGTGAAATCAAGAAATGCTACATAGTCAGTAGATCACTAAGAGCTTCAATGCTCTTTTCCCTTTGTGAGTGAGTACGTAAGAACTTAGTTCATTAACCCTTGTTTTTTTCAAGCAACAGCCATAGAATGTGCCCATGATACATTAAAGTGATAAAATCAGAAATTGTAATCCTGGTTTTGTTCCAGCCTCTCCAGTTGAACACCTGACTTGATCATAAGTTAAACTTTATGTATGGGAATTGTCACTAATTACCTGCCTAAAATGCATCGTGTGCTTAACTTGAAATACTTCATTTAAACATACATTTCAGTTTTTTGATAAATGGCAATAAGGATCACTTGTAGCCCCTTCTCTATAGTTCGGACTTCCAGAGTTTTTAATCACTCCCTGTTTAGGACAGTGTTTAACTGCAAACATATTTTCATAAACCTAAAAACTTTTAATGTGAAGCTTAAAGTACCCTAAATCAGGACTAAAGTTAAGTATGCATGTCTTGAGTGTTTTGTCTTAAACAGAGTTTAAATTCTTGTTCTCAAAATCAGATCACAGCTATTTCTTAAATAATAAGGTCAGTTTTTATATAGTATGCTGTACAACAGACGTGCATTTTCAGTGTCATTAGAAAGTAATGAATGCTCCCTGAAGTTTATAAGAAATCACATTATTATCCTAAATTCCTCCCATTTTCTGTGCAAGATTCACCTTCCATATCAGTAAAATGTTCAAGGTAGATTTTGAAATTGAAATTTTTACAGATAGATCCATGTTGGAAATATAAAGATGGTTGTCAATAAAATAACTTTTACTCCAGAAGGTGGAGCTATTCCATCATCAGCAATAATGTTTTTCAAGTGTTTAGTGTGTTTAGATCCAATCTTGTGAACTGCTGAGATACTGCACTCAAGAATGCATCGTAGCTCAATGTATGCGTTCTGTTTGAATGGTGATGCAACATGCAATAAAAGGCCTTCGTTCTGAAAAAATAAAGCCATGCAATTTTATAATAATTAGGAGTTTGTTCTTATAATGAACTTATAATAATTATAATTCTTATAATAATTCTTTATAATAATTAGGAGCTCATTAGGAGAAAATTCACACATTTTCTTTGTAAGAACTGTCAGCAGCTGGACTAGAATCAGGTCAATGTCGTTGAGTTACCTGCAGGTTGGTGTGCAGGGAAACGTGTGATGCCCTGTTCTACACAGAGCTTCCCAGTTAATGATAGGTATCAGGAACCTGCCTTCGCTTTCCACCTTACGAGGGTGTGAAGTGAACCTGGCCGCTCTGGCACAGCTCACCTGAGAAGTGCAGCGTTGTGGCGACTATACTGCTCAGTCTGCACAGAGCCCTGCAGGTGGTGCTGGCAATGCATTCCCGTCTAGACAGGGTTTTCCTAACGTCTCAAATAATGCCAGCATGTGCTCTGCATCTCCTCAGTTTGAGATCTAGTTTTGAACAATTCACAGGTGAAGTAGTAGCCTCAAGATCCTTAGAAAATGAGATGGCAGCAGCAGGCAAATTACAGAGAAAATATAGTTCGGTGTGAAAAATAGTGAAAAATTCGTGCAATTTTCAGAAATGAACTTTGCTTTGTTAGTCATCTTTTTTTCTATAAATAATTGTGTGCAGTTGTTCAAGAAAATGCAGCTTTTTGTAATTATTGAGCTAAGCATAAATTATGACAGTTAATTTTTATAGAAGAAATGGTTGTTGGTGTGGAGTAATTTCAATGTGTACAATATTAATTATCTTTAAAATGCTCACTGCGTGACTCTATAATGCTGAAAAATTTGTTTTCTTAGTATCTGTGATTCTGTCCTGTGAGAGGTTGTGTGAACAGGTGGGGAAAACAGGAGAAGTGTCTGGTAAACCTTGCAGTCCCAAAAGGAGGAGGTCTGTGCGATGGAAAAGGCATGAGGGGTGGTGGGCACTCACCCCGCTTCCATTTTCGCTGACCTTTTTTATTAGATAGAAGCTTTTTTTCTGTTACACTTTCCCTGCTTTGTCTGTTACTGTGAGGAATAGCAGTTAAACATTTTAATTTCTGTTTTTGTAAACATTCACCTCTCAGTTTGTTACGCTGGCGTTGTGCATTACATGGCAGGTGTTACCTGTAGGGCCGGGTCTGATGCAGAGTAAGTGGAGTGGGAGCTTCTTGATTCCTCTTGCACCGAGGTCTGTGGGGACTCTCAGTGAAACTCAAGTTCAAAGCATTTAAGGCCAAGAAGTTACCAAGATTTAAGAGGGTGTTTGCTCATCATATGTGAAACGAGAGTCTCTTAACAGCAAATGCTCTCCATGCTTTGGCAGAGCTGAAGTTTGAGTTACGCTGTGTTTGGGGTTAGAGCGAGGCCTTGGGGTTTGTGTGTGTCTCCTCAGGGGTTTGACTGTCCCCAGTGTAAGTGTGGCAATTTCCAGTTTCTCACGTGAGAAGTAAATCTTTCCTTCTTTTTAATCTGAAGTGTTGAAACCTGAAAGCCTCAGCCCACGAGCCACAGCACGGATGTGTGAAGCCAGCGTGTGGGGTACGCACTTCAGAACTCGGGTTGCAGTTAGTGTCTGTAACGCTGATTAGCCATCTCTTCGGACACCCACGAGCACAGCAGGCACGTCGCAGGTGCACAAATATGATGTGGGGATCAGTGCCTGCTCGTTGTGCTGCTCGGTGGGAGCTGGCAGCCCCTGGCCAGCGGCTGAGCCT